TGATATTCTGCAAACTGAAAACACTTCTGAATGCTGGGGATGTACAAGCAGAAGGGACTGCTGAGCACAGCCAGGTTTGCCTGTGCTCCCTGTCCAGCACCACCTGTTAGAGCGGCCAGGCAGGTGGACTGTTGCTCTGCCCCAGCAGATCCATGCTCACATTCTTGCGCTCCGCAAGGCAGTGGTCCATCTAGCATGTTAAATTCAGAAGGTTTTAAAATGGGAGAGATGTTGTCTCCTGCAAAACCCAAAGCAATCACTGAACAAAATGGAGCATACCAGTGCTCCGCAAGCAGCAGCAGTTGGACTTGTCAGTCCTCAGAGGGCTTGTGTGAATTAAATTGTTTTTAATAGAGGCCTAAGGCCATAGCACAAAACAGCCTGGCTCTTTGTGGGAGTTGAAACCCACTGCGCGTGTCCTGTGTCGAACAAGTAAGATAGCAAAGTCAGAGATGGGGGAAGAGTTCTTTTTTTTTCTTTCTTTTTTCTTCTTTTCTCCCAAAAGAAACAGAACACCAAATAAAAGCTGAAACCCCCCTTGGAGATGCTGTTAAAATGTGACCAAACATATGGTGCTAAGAACAGGGAGTTGCTGAAGTTGGATGTCCTCATTGCATTGAGTGCACTGGGTTCTGGGAGCTCGTGTTTGGTGTGCTCCAGAAAATCCACAGGAGACAGGGCCGGCTCTCTAGCTCTCATATAATAGAGGAGTTTTGCTGCATTTCTAGATGTTGAAATTCTTGATAAAAGTTTTTCTCTTCCTGGGGCAAAAGCTGCCTTTTTTTAATGTGCACATCTGCCTCCTTGAGGCGCTGGAGGTTGGGGGTACCTGGTGCTGCTTGGCTAGAGAGTGGTTGCTTGTTTAAGCACGTGCGATGGTGGGTCTGTTCTCTCATTTATGTGAAGCTATAATTAGACTTTTGGTGTTTGCTTTTAGGCAAATTAAGATTTGAAGTAGTAATTATTTTTCTCAGTGTCTTTAAATAAATTCTTTGAATTGTGAGGCAAATTGGTCTTTTGTCAAGATTCGGTGCTTCTGGGTAGAGCAAGTTCTTTCTCCTCAAAACTGGAAAATTTCAGATATTTGCAGGCTCTGGTTCTAAAGCGTATCCTCCCATTTTTGCTTTGTTGTGGTTTTATTCATTTTAACCTAAAGCCATAACTAAAATATATCTGTGACGTTTCATCCTGACAGGATAAATGGAAATACAAAACCTAGAGAAGTCTGTCTCTCTTTTTCCAGGGGAAATCAGTGCTTTAAAGCACATCTGAATGTTTTTACTGTAATTGCACTTCGGATATGTGGAAATACTGAGATCCTGCATTTCCATTATTTTTGAGTAAATCTCTTATTAGTAAGTGTTAGAACTACAACTAGTGGGGTTTTGCATCTAATTCACTTTGCAAATGTCAAAATGGAACATAAATCGCTTAGTAAATTGCCGTATTAGCATTTAAAAAGGCTCTGAAATGGTTTAATTTGTTTAGGGCTGCATGTCTTAAAAACAGTTTCTCCCTGACCCCTCCTTCCCATCTGTGGGTTTCTTGGATGCCCTCGTCCCTGGAGAGGCGCTGGGATTTCGTGCTGTGTTGGAGTGGATGTGTGGCAAGTGGATATTGGAGAGCAAGACACAGAATTCCCAGCCGGAGTTGCTGGCGCTTCCCCACTTGGCAGTGGGAATGGGTTTCTGCGAGGTGTGCAATGTGTGTGAGCTGAGCGTAATGGAGTCCGTCTGTCCAGACGAAGAGGGATCGTTCCTCCCGAGGGCTGCGGGAGCCCCTGCCTTGCCGACAGGCTCCGGGAGGATGGCTCGCCTCCCCTGCTCACTCCTGGAGCGCTCTAGAGATCTGTTTGCACACATCGGCTGGCGGCTAACACAACACTCTGGATTTCTAATCATCATAAATTATGACCGGTGCAATCAACATCAGGTTTAATAAAACGCACGGTGCTGAGAAATGATCAGACGTGGAGCACAAAACACTGTCAGATCTGGACGGCTCAGCTTAAAGCAGGTCAGGTCTGAAAGGCATGAGCAGAGCTGCTCTTTGCTCTCCCCACCGTAATGCCAGGTGGATTTAAACTTGAGATTTCCCCATCTCCAGAGCACCTACTCAACTGGAACATGCACTAAGTGCATTTTGTTTGTCGCTGGTTTCTTTGCCAGAGGCAGCATTTGTCTGGCACATTCCCTGTCCCCAGAGGGGAAATTGCTGTGCCAGGGAGGGAGAAGAAAACAAAATGTACAGTAGTAACTCGCCAAAAAATGTTTCTTTTTATTAAGCTTCATGGATGTTGATAGCCTGAACTGGTGAATACTCAGGCCCCCGTTTTAATTTAAGCACGTGGAAAGTCTTGTGTTGTGGGGCACTGATCACGTGCACTGGTTTTCTTGCACATGTCAGAGTTTGCAGGATCTGGACCGATTGCTGTGATGATTTGGGCAGGGAAACAAATCAGGGCGCACTAACTGAGTGCTTGGGAGATGGTTGGTATTGTGGAAATGCATATTACTGCTGTTCTTGGGGACAGGAGCCTTCTTCATATACTGGGCTGTCATGTGCTTTCCATTAAAGGATGCGTTATTTTTTTCCCCTGGTCCCTCCTGGCTGTAACATCATAGAGTGACTTTGTCCAAGGACAAAAGATCCCCACAAGCCCTGAGTGCACTGCAGTCTGCCTTCACTTCAACCTCTTTCTTAATTTTTAAAGAAATTAAAAAAAAAAAAACCAAAAACCCAAACCCAACCTAAAGCTAAGTGCTGATTTAGTAGAACATGTAAAGGAATCTCTGGCTGGTAATCAGAACAGTCCAAAAATGCTTCAAATCTTGCTTGAGTGGGGGGAGAACCAGCCTGCCATTAGCAACGAGCTGGGGGAAGGGCAAAGCAAAGCCTGCTGCTCTGTGGATGCACCTCAATGCAGTCATGTCGTGATGCGCAGGCTGTGCTAAGACCGGTGCAATCCCGGGCTGCTTCAGAGGAGGCTGCGCCGCTGGATTTTGGTGGCAGCTGGTAGGAAGAGGATGGGTTAGAAAATGGGAGCCTGCAACTTGTGAATGCATCTTTATCTAGGGAAACGTCTGTCTCCGAAACTGGCTGTAGTGAAGGCATGTTTGTGCTTGGGCGGCCTTCCTGTTCAAATTGCCTCTCTTAAAGCTCTTCTAGCCCATCAGAGAGCAAGCCTTTTGGTTCATGCATGAGATGGCGCATGCAGGATTCTGCCTGAAGGAGGGAGCGGGTTTTGAAGGAAATCTGTCAATTTGTTTCGAGTGAGATGTATTTTTTTCAGCTCCTGAGAGTGCTGTTGAGTTGTTTTCCAAGCTGCACTCCATTCTGCAGGCATTGTATATTTTAAGCATAGTGAAAGTGTTTGATCGAGTCTAAGTAAATAAGTGTTTTCCAAAGTAACTAACCACTTTGTTTCTAAATAGCCAGTCTCGGCTTCTGGTTTGCTCTGAGTGAGGAATATTTCAGGAAGAAATTTTCTGCTGAAATAGAAGTTACAACTGTAGGAAACCTGTTTCCCATGCATGACTGACTTAGTGATGCAGTGGAGTGGTGATGTGAGCAGAAGGGGGATGTATGCATGTGAAAGATCCTTCATAATACCACCGAGCAAGTAACATTATCCTCCACAGAGCTTTCCACCTGCGGCTCGGGGTGAACAACATGTAGCTCTTTTGCTCTTGGGTAGGTCTCCTGTGGTATCGCAGGTATCTGTGTGTCAGAAGGCAGTGAGACGTGCTATTTGGCAAGTAAAAAAGTGTATTAGAGAAGATGTGGTCTTTATCCTGCCTTGCTGCTGAGCCTATCCGATATAAAAATGAACTTGCTTTGAAAATCTGTCCTTTTCCTCTCTCCTTCAATGTGTGTTCTGCAGCTGTAGAGTATGTTGTTTGACGAGGGCAAAAAAATATGTCCCACTGTAGTTAAATACCCAGGGAGTCAGAGTTTGGATTGCTGAAGAAACCCCAGCTGAAGTTCCTGACTTGGGTTACTTTTTTCATTTAGTGTTGCCTGCTCCGGTTTTGGTGACACCTTTTCAGGAAAGCTGAGGTTTAGATGTTCTGCTCTGCATTCCTCCTGGGGAGGTGGGACCCTTGGACATCACTCCCAACGTGTCGGATATGTGTTGGGTGTTTACATACACCTGCATCTGTGACTTGACATTATCCTTTTTCTTCTGCTGCAGAGATGACTGAAGAGGAACAGTTTGCACTGGCCCTGAAAATGAGTGAGCAAGAAGCCAGACAAGTGAACTGTCAGGAAGAGGAAGAGGAGGAGCTCTTGAGGAAGGCCATTGCCGAGAGCCTTAATGTAAGTGTGCTTCTGTGAAGAGGCTTACTAGGGTTCTTCAGCAACATTGCTTTCTGTGCTTGCTTTGCCACACTGCACAAAAGAAGGCTTTACCGGGGGCCTAGCTATTTCCAGCGCGAGCTGGAATGACAACAGTTGCAGAGTAGTTGTTTTGTGCCATTTCTAGTGAGAGATGTGTGAAGTCCAACCTCAGCTGTCCCCTATTTTGGGGTACACAGCTCTGATCTCAGGGGGGCGGGGGGAGGCGTCTGCAGTCTGGGTGATGGCTCCCTGGGGGAGCCGTTGGTACACTCTGCTGACAGAGAACATGCCTCTCGGAGAATCAACCTTTTGTTTTTCAGAGCTGTCAGCCCTCGGAGTCCTCTGATGCAACCCCTCAGTTGTCTGCAGAAGTGCTGGGCGCGCGAGGCCAAAGCCAGCCTGCTGAGAAAGTAGGCTCTGAGATCCTGGGAGGTCTGGCGCTTTGCCCTGACACCCCTCGCTCTGAGTGCAGCTCCCACTCACAGAGCACTAGAGCTGATGGGAACGGACAGATGGATGTCGCCCGGAGCCCCCTGGTAGTGTTGAGGAGGTTAAGCCAGGAAATCGTTGAAAGCTCACTAGTATCCAGCATAATCGTGTCTCCGGGGAAGGGCCAGCCTGTGACAAGGTCAAGTGAAAAGCCTTCCTCACCAGCAAAAAGTGATTCTAGTAACATGTCACCCGGCACTTTCAGAGAGGACCTCATCTCTTTGAGTCCCACCTTTGGCAGGGTGACTTCAGGCTCCTGGCAACTCACACCTCGGAGACTGTTCAAAAGCCCCTCCAGCTCTTCTGAAGCAACAAGCCATGAACCAAAAGAGCAGCTCCTGCCCTGCACTGGCCATTCTGCCGGAGAAGCTGGTGCCGGCAGCTCAGCCACGCTCTGGAAGAGCTGGACCACGGAACGGTGTGGCAGCCCCAGGAGTGGAGGAGCAGGTACCAAACACACCGCGCAGCCTGGGCACACCGCCAAAGTCTGTGTTTCCAGAGAGCAAGCAGAGCAGAAGAAGGTGCCTGATGGTACCTCTGAGCTTTGCATGCTGAATGTGGTGGAGAAGCACAAGCAGGAGGAGGCAAGAGACACAGTGCACTATTACTGGGGCATCCCCTTCTGCCCCAAAGGGGTGGACCCCAACCAGTACACCAAAGTCATCTTGTGTCAGCTGGAGGTTTATCAGAAGAGCCTGAAGCAGGCTCAGAGGCAGCTATTGCATAAGAAGGAGTTTGGTAACCCAGTTATGCCCAGTTCTTCCTTGAGCCAAAATGAGCTTGGGAAAGGAGAGCAGATAAGCAGGGAGAATGGTATTACTGATGATACAGAAGACAGAGACCCAGACGGACAGAAGGAGTCTGAGAGTATCACCTGGATCCTCCCTTCAAAAAGGAGGGAGGCAGAAAGTCCAGGGCACAGCATGGAAGAAGAGAAGAACTCCACTTCTGATGATGAACCGACCACCAGCTACCGCCAGGTAAGAGCTTTGCCACTGAGCAGAGGTTAAACAGTCCCACTCTTCTGTCCATTTTAGGGTTCAGTCCCTTCTGTAAAGCAGGCGCTGCTGTTAGCACTCCTCTTAAATTTAGGGACTTCCTTCCCTAGCCACACGGCTTGCTGTGAAAGGGAGTGGAAAAGTGTATAGGCTGATACCCAACTCACAAATGGTGGGGGCCATCGTGCAGCCTGGCAGTCGTCCATTAATGCACCACTGAGATAAAGACTTCCAGCTGACTTGTCCTTCTCAAAAGGGTGTAGCCTGGCAGTATGTCAGGGTAGCGAGCACAGAGATACTGACCACTGCCAGCTCTGGCAAACCAGCTTATAAACCTGTGGCTGTGCAGGGAGCTCTGCATTTTCCTTTGCTGACAGAAATGTGGCTTTTGTCCTTGCAGCACAGCCTTTCCTTTTTGCACCTACACGCTCCTCTGCGTCTGTGCGTGCTTCACCCTTGCCAGTGCTCTTTTTCCCTCATGGTCCTGCAGTTGTGGATAGAGAGGCTCTGCGTGCTCGAGGGCATCTTCTGCCTGCCCG